TGACGGCGAAATTTTAAGGCTCTCTTAGTTTGGCCAATGTTAAATTAAACCCCCACTGGCAAGGAATCCTATAAATACCCCAGGAAATCTTTCCATCAATTAGCTATAAAGTTGGCACATATTTTGCAGAAATTTAAATTTCGGTTTGTTTTTTCTTCCCATCAATAAAATTCCAACTTCTATACTCAAGGACCCCATTCCGGATATGAATTCCTGGGGATTTTAGGATTCCTTGCCAGTGTGGTTTTAATTTACATTGGCCAAACTAAGAGAGCCTTAAAATTTCGCGTCAAAGAACATGAGGCATATGTTAGAAAAAAGGAAACACAGAGCTCTTCTGTTGCTCAACATTGTTGGTCCGAAAATCACACTTTCAATTTTTCTGCTGCCAAAATTATTCAAAAAACATCTTCCATTGGAGAACTGGATTTTCTAGAGGCATTTCACATTCATAAAAATATTTCTGTTCTAGTTAACGATCCTAATTCCAATCCAAATTTGCCTTCGGCTTTTAGAGAAATTATGTTTTAGTTCTGGTTTCGCCAACAAAATGGCGCCACTTGCTTATTCTTGTCCAGGCTTTCTTATCTTATCTAATCATTGTTTCCTATCTTGTTCATTTGCGGTTTTGCAGCTGAAGATGATGGTTCGGTAAAACCATCGAAACTAGTCCTGTGAAAATTTTGTAGGTATAACGCTGATTTTTGTTGTTTGACTTCTGAATTAGTACATAATTAACAATTCAGTCTGCATATTTCTTTTTACTATTAATTTTTATATTCGAGCATTGTTTTCAAAATTATTATAATTCTGAAGACTCTACTGTGTAATGCTAATTAATTACTGCTAATGAAGTATAGAACTATAGTATTAGATTATTAAGTATAGAATTATACTTCATTAGACAAGACACAGAGAATTTTAAGACACAGAGGATTACAAACTTTAAAACATCGAAAACCCAATCTACGTCGTTATGATAGCAACCATGGGAATCTACGATATAATAACAACAAAATAAAGACTATACGAGCAAATAAGGGCAGAGACTTTTAAGAAGATTGCAATATTAAACTTATCTTAAATGGTCGATCGTAAACCTATGATTTGAGTTCAAGAAATAAACCAAATGATGTAATGATTAAATTCTTTTTGAATAAAAACACGGAAAATAAAATTTGTAAACAGGTCCCACAGAAAAGTATTTGAAAAGGAAATATTTTCCCTTACCGAATTAATCGAATAGCAATAGCGAAAGTTCGGTGTCTTTATATAGACTAAAACTGCCTGAGGCATCGTTAATTAAAATTTTGGGAACGGGATTACAACGAAATCAGTAACATAACCATCAAGTGCTGTGGAGAATAATACCAGTGCTACATACAGAAGTATTCTAATGGCAGTGCCTGCAAAGATAGGATTTTATGATAGGTGATGTTATGATTTATTAATTTTACATAATCATTTATAATGATAAAATTTAACGGAACGAAATTCTATTTTACACTACTTTTAAATCGTTCTTTTAAAAATTGTTTTCTTTGAGAGAAAATCTTTTAAGACGTGTAATTTAGGCAATTTTGTTTCAGGGCTAATTTTGAATATATGAATCATTTTATTTCTTAAAAAGAGTTTTAATAGAGTGGGGAAATCGAAGCTTTTCTTAAAAGTGCCCTTTGATAAAAATATTACCTCATTTAATTCATTTGTTCAATTAGAGTCATAAGCCTACAGATGACAACTCAAGAAATAGTTGGCACACGGCTCCTTTTAAAAATCCTATATAGTTAATAAGAAGGAGCTTTAACTTCGACTTAAGCTTCTAATTCAGTCGCCAGATTCTTCTTCTGAACTTAAACCGTAAATTGAAAAGAAGGAAGAATCTACTTTTTTTATTCTAAGGCCAATGTTATTGCATGCGATCATAATTTATTTATTTCAGTAATGTGGGTCTACAAGCAATTGACATACGGAGAGATGTTAAAATAATATGCGACTTCACTTGTGAGTTTGAACATTTTTCAGGCATTCATCAATTAACAAATAATATATTGATGTTATGAACTTTCAAAATTTACTAAATATGCAAAATGAAATATAGATATCAATTAACTTTTTTCTTTGTATTTCTCGTCTGGTTTCATACTTGCAATGTTGAAAAATTAAATAGCACATCTATATAATCTCTCTGCTCCTGATTACGGTGCCTAAAGTTTTGGAAAATTCATAATTACAATTAGAATTTCGAAAACAATTTTATACTTTAAAAAGTAGCCGCACATTAAGATTTTCCAAAGTGAAAAGTTATTCAGTCGAATGTGTATGAGTGGATAATTTCATTTGATAAAATAAAAAATCTGATGCGGACTCCATATCAATTTCTTGTACGGCCTGTTAAATTATACACAGTTTTTGATGCATTTCACTTAAACTTATTTACTCAAATTTCATTACAGATATATTTCTCATTCAATTAATTTTTTCACTTTGCGGCAAAGCAAAAATACATAAAAACTCAAAACATCTTCATTAAAAATTGTAAAAAGACAGAAAACAAAAAACATCAGTTACAGTTAAAAAGAGTTAAAAAACAATTTTTTAAATTTAAATTTGAGTACGTAAAAACAAGCAATTCGTCCAGCGGTCAGGAAGACCGATTTTTCGGTGCACAAAATTAGAGTTTACTTTTGGCCCCACTCGGTAAAATCACACTGAAGTTGGTGCACAAACTGAGTTAATTCACTATTCTACCAAGTTTCAAATATAAACAAATGGCGGCTTCGTTAAGGCTTAGCAAGACTTAAACAACTTTTAAATTGTTGATAATTCTACAACTACTGCATGCAGATTAACTAAAGGTATAAAAACCTTAACCGGAACATAAGAACGAGCCCGATGCCCCAGATTGTTGCGTGCGTACAGGCTCATAATAGATTGAATTCACACAGAACAGATGATAGCTGGATAAAATTTATTTGCCTCAAAGAAACACTTTGTAGTTCTGAAACTTTCCACAAAAGTACTCGTACAGCTGTCCCCAGTATCACAGAGTACAATCAATAGTTACACGTCAAACAACTAAGAACGAGAAACAGAGTGTAGTGCAAAGGCCATTTAAAAAGGCGAAGCTCTTACGACTATCTTTCAATACCCGAACTCACGCTGAACTAATCAACTAACAGCTGATACTCTCTCCGGTCTTATATAGTTTATCCTTGGTCGTCGAGAAATCTCTAGTAGCATCAATTTTTTGAAATTACTGGAAGGCATTACGGTTAAAGTTACATTTAAAGGGCTATATGGTTACAAGTACATATAGAGATAAATTATGGTTAGTGTCAATTACAGTTATAGAGGCATCTGTCTAAAATGTCGCTAAGTTTGGCGACTTTTACAATTTCACTCCAAATTTGGCGACAAAGATTACTCGCCAAAACCATTGTCAGCTTGGCGATATCTCGCCAGTGTAGCGAGATTGCCATTTACCTCAATGTTAAACAGACTTGAACCTGTAAATCTTATTTTTCCAAGAGATCCTCGTCTCTTCATGTTAAATTATACAAAAGATACTACAATTTCAGATCTAATTACTCTAAAATTATTTACATATATACGAAATTCGTAACAAAACGCTACAGTCATCATTTCGTCAAATTTGGTTACAGTTTGGTGCAACGATAAAATCCACTCATGCAAATGTTACTTCAGCTGAGGTTGTATAATGTATCTAATCGATATGTTACGGTGAAACACCGAAATCTGGAGAATGTCGACTTTCACCGGTGAATGTCAAAATTCACGTAGTCGCTTGGTGTATGTCCGAAATATTTTCCAAATACTCTTATTTCTGACGTACACCGGTAAATGTCGACATTCGCCATGTATTAATGGTGAATGTTGAACATATAAGAATATATTATTTTCTTCTCCGTAATTCAGTCACGAAAAAACGCACTTGAGACTTAAAATAAGACCTTAAGAATCTAAGAACTAAACACACAGTACATTCAAAATGAGAAGGAAAATAATAGAGTAAAAACTACTTTAATCATACATACGTTCTAAATGAGAAAATAAAATAATAGTAATAAAAATCTTACTAAATTATGTTATTCAAATTTTATTTATTCCAACAACTTAAACTATTATGACACATTGAATTGCACAAGAGTGTAGTGATTATTATGACACTTTGCCTTGCTTTTACATTTGTGGAACACTTTCTTTTGCAATGACAGCGTGTATAGCCTGCCCACTGCTTCTATTAGAATTAGCTGCAGCTGCTTCTCTCAGCGAGGTTTCTTGAAAATAAATCTCATCTATGGAAAGTAACCTTTCTTTACAAATTACGAACTGATTACGTGTGTAAAGCTGCTTGAGGGTATCATTTTCGTTTGCAAGTTTAGAAGTCGGAGCGTTCTATTCCAACAACAACCGCTAACACATTTCGGTTATCTTTACGACCACGGTCGACATCAGGGACTTGTATTTTACAGTTCACCAATTGAGCAGGAGAAATTGTTTTGTGAGGTTCGTAACATTTTTGTTGCTTGCAGTTGAAGATTCTCTTTCGCAGCCGCGCTCTTTTATAGAATTAACTGGTTTTTCAGTCAGAGCTTGATGTGAAGACGTGGTAGATTGCAAGTACTCTTCAATATTTTTCTTTGGAATATGGTTTTCGGTATCACCACCGCTCAAATTTTTTTTCAGACGCATTACCAGTTTCTTCAAGCTGTTCTTTGGTTTCAAAAGTATTGGCAATTTCTTTTAGTTGGTCTTCAGTTTCGATATTTGGGATTCGTTCGCTAGGCAAAAAAGACGATGCTATGCCTTTTTTTGCTTTAACACCAAACATGGCTTCATAAGGACTTTGGTGTATTACTTCATGGTATGTAGTGTTCTTGGCAAATTGAACAAAGAGTAAACGTTCTGTCCATTTATTTGTATCGTTATCGTTCATCCATGCAGTTAGCATATTCTGTATATCCTGAATGACCCTTTCAACTGAGCCTTGTGTTTGCGTGACGAGGCTTTCCATGAACTATCTTAATAACTTTCCACATAGCGCATATTTCGGATATGACTTGATTACTGAATTCTCTATCATTATCTGATTGTAATATTTCTGGCGCACCAATTGTTAAAAATATAACAAGAATGTGATACGCTACTTCTTCAGCTCTCTTGCTTTTCGAAGGTCGTAGCTGGACAAACTTAGTTAAATGATCTTGATACACCATTATGAACTTATATTCGCCATCTCTGTTTGACTGCAGATCTATCAGATCAACTTGACATCCTGAGTTTAACTCAGAACTGATCATTGGTTTCACAACAATACCTTTCCTAGGTGCACCGTGTTTTATTTGACACTGTTTGCATAAATTGAAATACAACATTACAACTTCATACGCAATATTCTTGTATTTAATTTGCAACTCTTTAAGCATACGTGTTCTTCCTCCGTGGCCTATTCTGGTGTAAGTTTCATATAGTATACTGAGCAATTCCTCATCTGTAAATACAATACTGTATATTCGTTTCTCCTGGTTTTAATGGTACAATTAACTTCTCTTCATTATGAATTTTTAAAACGTCAAAACGTTTTAATCGTCTGTAATCCAAAGGTGCGTTGCACTTAGTTTTAGCAGAAACCACTTTAGAAAGTATTTTAGAGTACTTTTCTTGAGAAAAATAAAAACAACTGTCTTCTCATTTACCCGCAATTAATACATTTAACTTTTCAAGAAAAAGATCACGATTCACTGCAGTATCCATTCAGTATAAATTAGGGTATCAAAAAATGAAACAGCTAAGAAAAAGTTGCTTGCCCTATCAAACCTTGCATAAGACTGACAAAGCTGACTGACTGCCACCAGAACAAAGGGATTTGGCGGGAAACAGCCAGTCGCCTTTTTGTCGACTCCTCTCTTTTCGACCTACACCAGAGCATATCTGTGACTGTCGACATACACCGGTGAGGGTTCGAATGTACAAGAATGTAATACAATATTCGGTCTTTCACCGACGTATCTGGTGAATGTTGACATTCTCCAATTTCGGTCTTTCATGGTAACAGATACACCATCATTTGAAATAATTTATACCAGGAAGCATCTCCTTTAATAGATATCTGCACTTCAGCAAATGCCAATGTTCACAGGAGTCTGTTTTTGTATCGCTACATGGCAGATCAATTTGGTGAAACCTTTCTTTCCTGCGAATTGCTTGTCAAAATACGGAAAACTGACAGCAGTTAATTTTTTGTAGTTTGTAAAATTTCCCCTTATGCAGCTTGTCTGTCTTCTACAGAATTTGACACAACCTTTACTCTTATCTCATCTTCTGCCGTTTTAGATATCCATGACCTCAGCTAATTATATATGCTTAATTGTCCTTCACGAATGGGGGAAACCCATCAAGAAAAGATACTGTCCGCTAACGGATTATAATATATTTCTCGCACAGCATTCAACGTCGTATTTTCTTTGTGCAATATCTCAGCCTTGTTGTACAGCTATCAATTTTCGCGGATCACTTCTTCATAGAATAACTAAAGCTTACCATTTAATTAACTACTTGTAACTACTTGTAGCTTCAGAAACTATCTGTAGAGATAGTTCAATACGTAGGTATTGGAGAGTTATTACTTTCCCTTAATTTTTACTATATACGCAAAAACAATTCAAAAAGTAAACGTACAACTTTATTTTTCAAAGCTTGTGGCACTTAATTTTCTAATTCGAAATCAATTTATCATATCTGATGATCAGCGGTTTGGGGGAACTTTACAGTGTAGAACTGGTAACATTTCCTGAAACTGAACAGGAAGCTGCAACACTAATTAGGTGGGAGAGACAAATCACATATAAATCATGACGGTTACGATTTAATTCCCCCTTTAACCTATGACACTTTCCCTAAAATCTGCATAATTCTTTCGACTGATCGAATACGAGGCGAAATAAGACATAAAGGAAAGAAAGAATGAACATAAAGCCAACTGTTAATAAAACTTAAATACTATGACTCACAGCCTTTGTAGTAACCATTTTAGGTTGTCTCAATGCTCAGTGCCACATGTTATGGCACTAATAAAATACCAAGTGTTTCCTTTAGCTTCATGTAATAATCGAACATTAAACGTTTGTGATTGTTTTATAATATGACATAGCATGTCATTGTGTGTGTGTGTGATTGTGACAATACTTTGCTATTCTAAGCAACATACTTGATGTTGCCCTCGTAGAATCTACTCAGAATACAGCATAAAATTAAATTTTGTTTGAAAATAATCATCGAAGCAGATCCAGATTTTTTCCTTCAGAATAATTTAAAACAATCAACTTCTCTTTAACAGCTTGTAAGTAATTATCACAGGTTCCTACTACGTACTCTCGTGCTACGTGATTCGAAAGCTGGTCAAAGACACATTGATTTTTCATGTTCGGAGCAGAAAAATATAAATGTTTCTGCAGTGGCACCGGAACTGGAGTGAACGACAGTTCCCTTCACCTGAGTATGATGGACTAGTTCTCGAAGTTTTCCCCAGTCGCCCTTTAAATGTGAAGTGGGGGATTATCGTATTGCTCCTTGAGTGTTCTTACGGTGCAAATAACAAGCACGCAGAGTTAGCAACTGAAATATCCGTGGTTCGAGCTCCAGGGGAGGATACAGTTTTTTTGTCATGCTACCAGCTCCAGAAAAATCTAATGATCTCTACGAACTTAAGCTAAAAATACATAAGATAAACGGATAAGAGGATAAACTGAAAAGTTTAAAATCTGATATTATAATTCTAATTTTTATTGCTGTCAGATCCCATGAATTATTTTCATAGTCGGATGTAAAATACAGATTAGTCTGAATACAATGCTTCTTAAAGCGTGTGAAGAGAACCGAAACAAAAAAATAGAAAATATTCTCAAAACTACTTTTCTTTTTTCATTTATTTTCTCCAATAGTGTGATGTAGTGTAATCCAACAAACAAACAGTACAGTTGTACTTGCCAGTATTCGATGATTTTGGTATTAGGTAAAGGTGTGAAAAACTGTTTAACTTGTGTCTCTTTTAATTAAATATTCTTATATTTAATTAAAAGACACAATAATAATTAATTAAATTCTTATATTTAATTAATTATTATTATGTCTCTTTTAATTAAATATTCTTCTGTATGTTCACGGAATAGTACTTCTCTAAGAAATACTTTCCAAATGTTCATGATTTTAGTCTTTATTACAGCTGTAGAGACATTAGGTTTTTTTAAAAGCCAGAGAGATGAAAAATGAGCAATGCCCTTGCCGGGATTCGAACCACGGATCTCTCGAATACGCGCCGAGCGTGCTGACCATTACATCACGAAGGCGTGCTAAGAAGACGGGTGAAATACATTGTAGAGTTAACTTACAAAAGCAAAAATTTTAAATTTTACAAATTTTATTTGTTTACTTCTTATGGGTTACAGGAAAAACCAGAATTTACAAGTTCAAAGGTTGATTACTTATTGATACTAATTTTTAACACTTTATAATTTGAAATTATCAAAATCAAATTACTCCTAGATAATCACTATAAAGGTACCAAGGTTGAGCGTAACGGTAATTGATATGGCTTTAGGAATTTCTAACGTTTTTCGAGCAGATTAACATCAGTTTGCTTCAATTCTCGGCAGTCCTAACTTCATAAAGCATGCATTTCAGTTGACTTTCGTTAGCTTTTAAATTTTTTATTCTTTTTCAGCTTTTAAATTCTGTACTTTCACATATGTATCTAAGAGTGTCCGTTTTTCTCATATTTGCTGCATTCATTTACAAACTATAACAGATATACATGCAGTACTAATTAGAACATGTATACAAGACACGGGGTACAATTCCGTTATAGGGTCCGTAAAAAAATCGCCAAACTATTGTTGATACCAATGCTGCCAAAAATAATTACGGTAACGCAAGAAGGAAGCATAAAACAATAATCTTAGATAGTAAATAACTATTTAAGATTATTGTTTTAATTTAGATGACATGTTAATTTCATATAATGCAGTTTTTTATTTTTATAATTTATAAAAAAAAGGTAAACATAACTAAATAGAAGCATATAGTAAATAACTAGCTCAGATTATTATTTTAATTTAGATGAATTGTTAATTTCACATAATACATTTTTTTAATTATTATAATTTAAATAAAGTTAATAATTATGTCAGATTATTATTTTAATTTAGATGAAAGATTAATTTCACATAATACTTTTTTAATTATTATAATTTACATGAATGTAATTATTATATAGATAGGGTTCTATATCTTCTTAGATATTAACAATATTTGTATTACTAGAGTGGGTGAATTTGAAAAGATGTTGTAGAGACTAGAGTCGAATACATATGAATCAAGAAATCAATTCAAGAATATGAATCAATACATAGGATGATTTAATAACTTAATTCTAGAATGGATTAAGCATATTTTAATTCACAATAATAAAAGACGCTAGGGTTGCAAAATCAAAGCGAACTTGCTTTTATTTACATTTTTTCTTGTTGCCAATATAGAGAAACTAAACTTCCCAATAACAAATATAATATTACACGTAGAGGGAGCAGCTACAAAAAAAGTGAAAGTTAATAGAACTGAACAATACTGGTTAGTTTAACCTTAACAAGTGTAGAGAGAAATGAAAGTAATTCCTAATATTCTCAAAAATGTGTTCGATATTTTTTCTAATATTAGAGTTTTATTTAAAAATATATGTAGAAAGAAATATAAAAATGATACTCCTAACTAAGTCGTCTCGCCAAAACTAATGTTGTTTCGTAAAATAAGCGGTATTTTATTTCGGTTTAAATATATTTAACGTTTTTTTTTTTTTTTTCAGACTTTTTGCCGGTTTTTCGATGTAAAAATAGTACGAAACTTGACTGGAATTCTTTGACTTTAGGATTTTCGTAAAGCAAACATGTAATAAATAATTCTAAAATAAGCAAACATGTAATAATAGTCATCGCCAAGTTTACTGGATATATTTGTGCCAAAAATATATACTTTCGCCAAAGCCTCATTACAGTTGTAGGCAGAAAAGATAAATAAAAAGAACACTATATACATTTATTGCTTTTTGAATTTTAGAGTAAGCACGCTAACGACTTCGAAAAAGAAGTCTCTGTCTTTCTTTATAGAAAAACACATCTAAAAAAATCTCATCTGAGCTTGAGAATGCTTATTATCTTTTCATACGAGATTTCTTTCTACTTGATAAAGTTAGGACTATTATGCAGTTTGGTGAAAGGCCAAATTCATGCCATTCAGCCATGACTGAAACAGGAGGAAGGAAGAAAACATATTACTGATCAAAAAATTTGCCGCCTGCGTGATAAATTCAAACACCGTACATAAA